GGGCCGGGGCTGGAGCCGGAGCCGCCGCCATGTTTTCTTTTTTTGTGAATCGCTCTCATTTGCATACCACGATCTCCATTCATAAAAAAAACAACGCCATCCGACCTGCCGGCCGGGCCCGCTGGCCTCAACGCCCTCCGCCCCTCGGGGCGCGCGGGGCCGGGCGCGGGGCGCGGCGAAGAGGGCCCGTTGGCAGGCTGCGGCCGGGGCCGCTCGGGAGCCGCGCGTCGCCGTGCGGTGCCGCGCTTGTTGACACGGTTATGTGGGAAATATCAGCCGGGGAGGTGCTGTGGGCACGTGATCGCTCCATTCATAAAGTACCTGGCCGTCCATTCAGGCGCGATGCCTGCACGCTGCGCGCTGCCGGGCGGCCCGCGGGACGGGCACGGGGAAGGCGGGGGGTCTGCACGGGGCTGGGCGGCCTCCTGCCGCCGGTACGGGGAGGCCGCCGCCGGGCCGGGGTTGCGCTGCGGTTCGTGCTCGGCTCGTTCATATGAAGCGGCGTTGGTTCAGAAAATGCCTCTCGCGGCACAGGCGCACATCGCGGCACGGAAGGGTTTATTCAGAAAACGTCAGCGTGTTTCCCCCTGCCGAAAACGCTGGCTCAAAAATAAAATAACGAAAATCGAATCCATTCATGCGAACGCGTTTTCCAAACGGTGCCTTAATCGCTTTTCGGTCCTCGTTGGTGACCGACGCTCGTATCTGCGCGGTGCCAGCGGATAAGGGAAGGCGAGCGGCCGTCGCAGCGGCGCTGGGGCCCCGGCCGGGAGGGCCGTACCGGCACTGCGGATCGGAGCGGGCCGCCGCTCGGGAGGTGAATGGCAGTGCGGGCGGCAGCGCTTCTCTTCAGCCTGCGCCGTCACCTCCGGGGTACCAGGGTAACAGAAGTGTTGTAATGCGGCGTCAGCTGTTGAAAGGTCAAAATATTAACTTTGCTTTCAAACGTTTTTAAATCTTCGTTACAAAAGGAGGGGGAAAAAAAAAAAAAAAAAAAAAAAAGTGAAATGCGGAGATGCAGGACCACTGAAGGAGCCACCGTGACTGTTTGGTGCGACTGCTCTGCGGTTGCCAGTGCTAAAATGGAGCTGCTGGTTGCTTGTGAATACACCATTTCATTACCTCTACAAATTACATGGAGGTGATCCTTAATTATCCACTTGTGGGGTGGAGGAGGCTGTGTCTCTGGTGGAAGTGGGAGAATACCTGAAGGCTTACTGAGTGTTACTTGAAATAAGAGGAGTGAGCCCTCATGTAACGTTTAGTCTAAGTTCATTCGGCATTGCTTGCAGCTCAGGGTATATAAGCTAACAATGCGTTTTCAGCAGCAGTGCTTTTTCTCTCACAGTGGATATTTTTACTTCCTAGAATGTCACAAGCATTCTAACTCGGGGGGAGGGGAAGGTTGAGTTGAAATATGTACATATATAATATATTTCCCTCGGTTTCATTTGCAGTTCTGCTAGCAGCTCTGGCAGGGCCAGAGTCGTTCCTCTCTGCTGATCGTGCACACAGCACTGGAGTGCTGCTGTGAATGACAGGGAAATAGGATTGAAATTCGAAATCGTTTGTGAAAACAGGGCAGATCTGCACGCTGAAGTACATCACATATTAGAAGATCTGTGCTGAATTTTATTATGATTGATATCATCAATGGCCTTGAATTCATTAACAAATCTCACTGCATGTAAGGGCAAATACGGGTACTTGGCAACATTTTTTGTGCCATCGTGGCTACCAGCTATACCCCAGTATTTAAGCATTATGCTGTGTTTACAAAGCTTCGTTTTATGGAATAAGACATAGAGGTTTGTGGTGCCTGGAGTCAATAATATTAAATTCTTTTAAACTGTAACGTGTGGTGCAGAAGATTAATTAAAAAGCTGCATTAAGGACTATTAGGTTTCCTGTCAGTCATGAGCACGTGTCGGGCAGCCTTCTAAAATCCTGACTGCCACAGCTGGATTTTTTTTTGTGGTGATTTTTGACTGCTCTTGTAAAGCTTTCACTGCATTTGTCAGATCTTAGTTAAATGAGAGTATTTCTGTAGCTTTCCAGATCCATTTCTGTACTAGTTTTTTCTTCTCAGTGCTGTTGTGTGGTCAGTGGGAACACAATGCAGCACTCACAAATGCTCTTAGTTTTCAAATGAAGGAATTAGTGGGACGTGTGGCCTCGTGGGTCAATCTGCTGTTCATGCAACTTAACATAATAATGTCAGAGCATGCAGGTCAGCAAGCACTGTACAGAATTCTGATCTGATGGCAGATTTTAGTGCTGTCTGGAAATGCTTCTGAGTTTCAGTGTTGTTACCCAACAGAAGAAATGCTGCGTTATGTAGTGCCTGTTGAGCGGGGATGAATGATGACAGGATTAAGATGGAGTCTGAGTCGCTCTATTGAGAAGGAGGATCACTGCTTCCCTGCTTGTTTACTTTCCTCTGTGTTGCAGGTGGCCCCTTTCTCTTTGAGGGAATGTCTCTGCTCTGGATTCATATTTTGAGGGCACTTTTACAGATTTAGGCTGTCATATGTTGTGCTCCACCAGCACAGGCATTCTTCTGGTCATTTTCCTAGGTAATTTGATTTAGGAGATTATAAATTAAAGAAGCACTGAGTGTACATTAGAGCTGTGTGCTTAACCATTTCTAGGCTGTGACGGACTAAACACCCTCAGGTGCTGTTGATTTGAAAGCAAAGGTGAACTGTGTTTTTTGAAATACAGTACTTGCTATATTTATATACTTTCCCTGAATATGAATGAAAATATTGCTTCATGGGGGCTTCAGAATTTCTTGCAGTCGAAGTCCAAACTGAACAGTGAACACGAGATCCTATCTGAGAAAGCAAAGCCAACTAGTTTGTTTTCATTAATTTAATACGTTTCAGCAGGCTGATTTTACTTCTGAAGCATAAGCTTCAAAATTTTTCTTCTCTTTATGTAAGGAATTTGTGGTGGTTTTTTTTTTTTTTTTTTTTTTTTTTCTTAAGGTGGGGTAATTTGTTTTGAAAGCAGTCAATTAATTAATTATGATGGAATCATTACAATTCACATATATTTTCTTCTGTGGCAATGGCTCTGTGTTTAGTCCCAGGGAGGCTTTTCCAGTTCTGTGAACAGCTTCTTGTTGTCTCCTGGGCTTTGTGCTATGCTGCACTATTCTGAAGGTGAAACTGAATTTACATATTACATAATCATCAAGTCAGTAATGTTTTTTTTCTTTTTTTTAAAGCTTTACCTTAACAGCATTACTTGAGTACTGTACTGCTGCAGAAAAATACCTTTTGGCTGTTTCATTATAACTGGAACCAGTGTTAACATTTGAATTTTAAAAGGACTTTTTTTTTTTCCTTGTTTAAAATCTGATGTGCTTGAACTGTTAAAAAGGCAGTGACGACATCAGCACATGCTTCA